TACTTGACATAATCCTTTTAGTATAATGTACTGTAATAAGTCATATTTGTATCTTAGCTGGTAGGGTTATTTCCTTAGGATATAAATATACATCTTGTGTACATGATGAGTCATTCATGAATAAAATTCAGTTTAATCTTCTCTTGTGCCTTGAGAGCTGGAGAGTGTGAGGATTCCAATTGGGTCAATGCTGCCCGATTGTTACATGTACCTGTAACTGAACATGTTATTTTGAGACCCTTGAAGTCATTGAATTACATGTTCATGGCTTCATATTGTACTATCATATTCCAAGCTACAGAGATATAATTTGGAGTGGGACCATCGCACAGTAATACACTCAAATCTTTCTGTGACATATTTGGACAGTTACATGCTATAACTTAGTAACTGCTACTATCCCACCTTCATTAGACCTTAGGACTCTTTGCATCTATCAACTGAAAGATTGTTTTCTTTTTCTTTCTTTTGTTTCAAGCTTTGGAGGTATAGTTCAGTGACTGTAAAATATTTTTTCAGGACTAAAAGCATAGGGGTGGAATTATGGAAATTTGGGTAATAAAAAAACACAAATTTTAATAATGGGAAAGGAGTTTAAAGGGAAAACTTTCAGACAAAGCAATGCAAAAATAATCGAAAAATATTGTAAATTGATCTCTCACTAATGCAAAGAGAAACACTCCCTTTAATATATACGTTAACAATATGCTTTTTAAGTGTTTTTGATTGTTTTTCGTTGTTTATTATATCAGTATCCTAGTAGTAATTTTTATATTTTTGGAATAGTTTAGTTTGTTAAGAAAATTTGGTTACATAATTAGTTTCTAGTTTATTTGAATTATTATAAATATATTATTATTATTGAATAAAATTAAGATCATTCCTCATTCATTCTTGTCACAATTCTATGCATTTTTTTTCTTCATATTTTATTTTTTGCACCATAAAAACTGACAAAATAGTATCAAAATTGTTTGTTTACATACAAGTGAAAATGAATGTTAAATTAAATTTTTCACAAGTTGTTCCTCAGATATAAAAATGAAGACAGATGGAAGCTTTGGATCTTTGAGAAATTGTTGAAGAGAGATTATGAAATTCTTTTGCTGGCACACAATCCTACCATAGCCTAAATAAAAAGTTACAAGAAGAGAAAAACACATAAGGCAAAGATAAAATTATGTCTCTTTGCTAGTGTTTCAACAACAATTTTTATTAGGATTATGACTTTAAAAACAACAATGACAATTTGAGATTATATAAAGGAGAATATGCTGAAAATGAAAGAATTTGAGATATGCAAGTGCTAAATTTAATGAGTGAATTTGAACTCCAAAAAATGAAAGAGCCTGAAACAATTAAAATATACTCAGATAGGTTACTTAACATAGGTAACAAAATAAGTTTACTAAGCACTGAGTTTCTTTTTTCTAGAATTATAGAAAAAGTCCATGTAACGATACTCGAAAGATTTGAGGCTACAATCATACTTTAGAAAATATTAAGTACTTGTAAAAAATTATACCAGTGGAACTCTTAAATGATTTACAAGTACAAGAGTAAAGATGTGCGATGAGACAAGAAGGTGTTATTGAAAAAACTTTATATGTCATTATTGTGAAAAAAAAATGGTCATTTTCTTTTCAAATGTTAAAGGAGACCTAATGTACAATGCAATAAATGCAAACAAATGAGATGCGGAGATGTTATATGCAAGAATACAAATCAATACCAAAATAAAAATATTAAGATTGTTGATTAAGAGAAAGAAAATCATTTATTTGTTATTACTTGCTTCTCATATTTTAAATCAAATAAATGTTGACTAATTGATAATAGTTATACTAACCAGAAAATTAAAGAATTTTTTAAAGATTTGATTTGACTAATATCACCAAAGTTAAAATAAGTAATGGTATTTCATCTCAGTCAAAGGAAATGAAATAATTGTATTAACAAGTCATTCAAGTATAAAATTAATTCATGATGTTCTTTTTTTTTTTTTTGTCTAAAATTGACCAAAATTTATTAAGTGTTGGTCAACTGATTAAAAGATCATTCAAAGTTATTTTTAAAACAAATATTGTTTGATTAAAGATGTTGGTAAAAATATGTTCAAAGTAAAAATGAAAAGAAATTTTTTTACTCTAGATATATTGGAAGAGGAGGAAATAACTTTCTTATATAAACAAAAATCACAACAATTCATCTTAAATATTTTGAGTGTCAAAATTAAGTTTTCTTATTTCATGCATAATATATATGAAAGACATTTCAAGATTGAAGAGATGATAATTAAATATTTTAAAGGCACTTGTAACTTAGGTATCAACTTTAAGATAAATAAAAAATTCATATTGATTAATTTTTCTATCAATGATTGAAGTGACTTCGTTATTAATGTAAAAATTTCTTAAAACTATGAACCAAGTTCTATAGCAAAAGAAGGTCTTATTTGATTCTAATTTAAAGTAAAAAAAAATAAAAATTCTAATACATTATCTATTACAAAGTTTAATTGTTAAAAAAATAAAAAGAGTGAACTTCAAGGAGAAAAAATGAGTATTAATAATATACTTTTGTAACTGCTTTTGATTGTTTTTTATTTTCAATTTACTAAATTGGTATTCTGGTAAATAAATATTTTCTATATTTTATGAATAAATTAATTAATTTTTATTCAAATTTATTTAAAATCTTTACGTAATTAGTTTCTGTTTTTTTTTTTGAACTATTATAAATGTATTATTGCTTATGAAATAAAGTTGAATTCATTTTCTATTCATTGTCTTGACAAATGACAATTGTATAATTTTATTTTATTTATACTCTTGTTCCATAAAAACCCGAAGGTACATAATATTACATTGACCTTATTCAAAAGTTCACAGTAGTAACATTGTAAGTAATCTAACAACTCCTTTTAGCCTTAACAAGTTTGGGCCGAAGTGAAATAACATCACCAAGGAAATCAGTATAAAATATAAAAAAACTGAAGAAGTGTTTTCTGTAGGTCTTGTACCATTCGAATTTTGCTATGGTCTCACAAGTCAGTGTAATTTACTTCTGAATAATAGCACCACACAAACAGTACCTATCTATAAAATACATGTTTTGGTATTTAATACAAGAATTATTGATGAAAAATACTCCATTCTTTTTATTATTTATCTACGGTTTTAATATAACATATTTTATTTTATTAATTTTTTAATATAACATTTTGTCGCATTACTATGTAATTATGTTTTATTAAATTAAAAAATTTAATCATTATAATTACTATTAAAACCTTATTTTTTAATTTATAAATACATAATTACATGATAATGTTAAAAGTAAACATTAAATTTAAACATTTTTTAAATTTTAAGTATTCTGTGTCTAGTAAATATCATTATATTTTTGCTCATATATTGTCTCATTAAAAGATATATTTAAACCATATATATTTGATGGAACTTACGCATATCTCATTTTTAACTTTGAAAGCTATATTTCAAGATATATAACTCTTATTTTCCGTAAAAAAGTGTACAACTCTTATAATAATTTATGAATATATAATTATATGATAATGTGAAAAGCTTTGCATCTGCAATAAATTAATTTAAAATTTCACATTCATTCATGACTATTACATAAAATATAATTTATAAAGACTTGCTCATCACATATATTTGATGGTGGACAAACGTACACACATGTCACGTCTTAACCTTGAAGATTATATTTTAACTTTTAGCATTCTTTATTTTATTGTGAACTGCGTCTTCTTCTCTGCATCTCCCAGTCGGTGAAGGGTGAATGGGGCACAGAGAAAAGAACTTGTGCTTTCTTGGTTTGATGCTTGGAGAGCACTGCATGAAGCACCTTTGATGGAGTGTCAGAACAAGTCCCACATCGTTTGCTTTCACATATTAAAAGAAGGTTATATGCGATCAGAGTCAACAGGGGCATGTCCCTTCGGGGACATCCGATAAAATTGGAACGATACAGAGAAGATTAGCATGGCCCCTGCGCAAGGATGACACGCACAAATCGAGAAATGGTCTAAATTTTTTTTTTTTTTCAAGTTTTGAAACACCATTTTGAGATTTCGTTTCCAACAGTATGTTTAGTTTATAGGGTGCTTGTTTATTCTCTATTTATCAGAGAAAAGGTTATAACTTTTTTTTACGTTTCAAAAGTTATAATTTGGAGTTGAAGAAAGAATTGCACTGATAATATGTACTACACATACATATTATGTTTATTATTTGCTAGTTAAATGCTATATTCTATTGTTGGAAATATGAAAATTTGGAGAATACAAATTAATAAGGTGGAAAAGGGGGAAGAAGAGGAAAGTAAAAATTGAAGTTGAATGTTCTATAACATACAAAGCAAATGAATGATAAAAGAGTAAACAGACATCCCAGGAAAACATGTTGAAAATGTTTAAAATATCAACGTTGCTCCCTTATTTTGAAATTCCTAGCACAGATGCCTTTCTTATGCTAAATTATTTGTAGATATTGACATTCCCTCTGTACAAGTAAAGAAGATCATTATAATATTCAAAACTAGAAGGGGTGTTTCAGTATATATGAAATCCTCAATGGAAGCTAGTTTTGAAAAATAAGTATAATCTACCTTCCTTTTATGAGTACTACTAAGTCAAGGGGAGTACAAGTCCTCTCATGATGTAAGAAATGATTGATGTATCCTCAAGAATTGTTCTCTTCTACTAGGTATCATCTTCATTTTTCTGCTCATGGACAACTTTACTACCAAAATTATCCTCTGAATCAAGTGTTAATAAATACCTTGTTAAATTTACCAAGTTGAACTAAACCCAAACTTTCCTTCATTAACATTATACAACATTGTCAAAATTCACTGTGGCCTTCCTTGATAGGAAGCCTTACATAAATAAAAATAAAATAAATAAATGGAATCTTCCCTAAAAACAAATGAAAAAATTAGAATAAATAAATAGACTAATTACAATTCCTCACCTCACCACTCAATTACTCTCTTCACACCAAACCCAAATAAAATTAAATCAATGCAAAACATAAACTATAACTATGTATCAGTTCCAAACTCTCACGAGCTCACTGAGAGTCACTATCCATTTGTTGCAACAAGAATTGGAAGTCAGACCTTTGCCTGAGGATTGGTGGTGGATCCACATCCATATCCGATAGGCGTATGTCACTCATGGATCGGAACATCTCCTCCATTAAGAATGGTATGCTGTGTTTTGTGCAAGGAACAAGTGCAATAGCTTGTCAGCAATATGTGTTTCTATTGGCTGGGAAATGACTTTTGGATTTGGAGTGTGAAAAAGGAGGAAATCAAAATGGATCTAGAAGCATGTTAAAGATTAATTTACCTGGAATCCACTTCCAAAAGGAATGAATTATTGTGTATGTTTATTGAGTCTTCTGTAATAAGTACTCTCATTCTGCTAATGACCTGTAAAAACAACAGTTAGAACAGAAAAAGAAAGAAAGAATTGAAAGATCTTTATCATGTGTGATAAGCTTGTTTAATGCAGAATGAAGTTATGATAGTAATTAATGTATGATGCCTGTTGTATTAATTCTTGGGGTATGTACTCTCATTGGGAAATTAGGGTCACTCAGTTGTATTGGTGTTAGGAATTAGGATATAAATAGTCTAGTTCAATTTCCTGTATAGAAATACGGTTTTTTTGTTCTGTTTTGAGTTTTGATTACTTGTCCTAGAGCAACTAGGTTTTTATGGACTGACCATATCTATGGTTTTCAATCTTATTATTGGAGGTTGATTATGAATATTTTTTTCAAGGCTTAAATATGTTTAATTTTAATTTTAGTCCCTTCAAATTCCTTTTTTTTTGTTTTGGTCTCTGATTTTTCTAAATTTAACAGTTTAAACCCTAGTGATGGCATGGCTAAATAAGAGGCTGTCACGTGTCAGATTTTTTATGCCATGTGTCAGATTTTTGTTAGGCCATGTCAATGAGAAGGACTAATGCTAAATTTAGAAAAATTAGGGACTAAAACTAAAAAAAATTGAGGGACTAAAATCAAAATCTTGCAAAAGTTTTAGGAGCAAAAACATATTTAAGCCTTTTATAAAAGTATTGCTCCTTTGTTATCTGTCTTTAATATTGTACATCTTAGCAATAATCAGTTGAGATGCAAATCCCTTAACTGAAGTGTTAGTCTGAATTCCAGTTTCAGACTTACTTTGTTTCAGAAATATCTTATTTTTTTAAAAAGTTAAAATACCTTCCCAAGCAAACAGAACTTTTGCATGTTTTGCTTGGAAAAGATGTACACAAACATACAGTAGAGCTAAACACGGTTGGTGAGACAAGGACTTACCTCTGGAGATAATCCCTGTGCTCCATACTTATCATCCCAAAACATGGTTCCAATGCGGTATATTTGTGGAATACTTAACACCTGATATACGAATAATAAACAAGAAATGATACTTGACAATTAGAGTTAAAATCATACTCTTTTCCTGGAACTTTTAACACGTTCTTCTGATCAAAATTAAATTAAACTCATTCTTAATAGAGATCTACAAGTTAGATGAAATCTACTTCAATCCAGACAGGTTCAAGATAGAAAACTATGTCAGATACTCATTATGCATACGGTGCCTTTGATAGATGAGGTAGTACTAGTAGAGTTACCGGGCAGAGTTCACTTGTGATCTCCTCCAAAGATTTTTGAGTCTTTTGATGCAAAACCTGCATAACAATGCATTCTAAAAGTTGAATATTGAGGAATGGGGTGGGAAAGAGTGCACTCTCATAATCTTGATCCGAGAATGTATACCAGAAATCCCACTGCTTGGCGTATGTGTTTGAGTTCATCCCAAGATGTCCCAGCAAACTGCAAATAATCCAAAAAAGATAAACTCTTCCCTTTCCATTCTTGGCATAGGTTATAGCAAATATCTAAGGTACCTGATCTGTTGCTTTAAGACACCATAGTTCCAACTCATGCAAACCTGCCTTCAAATATTCTCCATTGCTAAAGGAACAGCATTCACGACGAAGCAACAAACTGCCTCACCAAAGTTTTCAAAACTTCATGAGAATTTGTATTGAATTGAATCAACATTTTCTACTCCAAATATATTTAATGCAATTGAATGGAAATTCTGCTCACCTATTAAAGAGTTGGACATTCATGAATGAAAAAACCTGACTAAATATCTTCCTAGTTATGATGGGAGGGACCTAAAGTCACAAGATATAGAATATTAGGGAATCTCTTCTCTGATAAATACAACCTAGCCAAAGCAATGTTAAGTGAGTAATTCATGCTTACATAGTTATCAGATAATATACCCAAGGCATCATCTAACTTGCTCACAATGCCTTTCCAGTGCATATGCAATGCCTGTTGTTTTGCAACTATATTTGAATGGATGTTTCTGGATGACCCTCTTATTGATCTAGTCCTTATGGCTCTTGGTGCCTGCCAATGATGATAAAATACCGATCTAATCAACCAATTCCTAAATTTCTGTTGTATTTAGGAATTTTATCTTAAACATGATGCTTACTTGTATACACAAATTTAAGAATGGGCTAATCTCTTTCTTTAAACTATCACGGATCATTCCATATATCTTCTCAACATATGCAGTTAAATGTTGCTTGAACAGAATAGCTGGGTATTTTGCTTCCACTTTAGATTGATCATTTGACTTGTCCACCATTCCACTGTAGCCACTTGAAATTCCCAAGCCCATCGAGGATGAACGTAAACCCTGAATTTGTATCAAACATTGTTATATTTTTAACACTGATTTTTAATGCACTAAATCTTTTCACTTTTGAAAAGCTTACTTGGGCCATTTTCCCAAACAGAGTGGCAGGGGAGTTTCGGTTGCGTGACACTGGCTTGGTTGTATTGCTGGCCTTTATTGTGCATTGTAGATAAAACAGAAGTGTTGAAGTTGTTGAAAGCCAGTACGCTAGATCATGGATCCCTCCTTCTTGACTCTACCAGAACATAAAATGTAAATTGCTTTCACACAACTATATGAACAATTGCAGTTTGTTGAAGTGCTGATGTTTTAGTTAGAGTTTTTTAATCTTTGTTGGTGAACTAAGGATACTACCTCTATAGATGATCGGATAGCATGTGTAATTTTGTCAAATATATGTGTCTTCTCTGCTTCAAAGGATCGCCAATGAAGAAGTGATTTATAAACAACACAAGCAACTGCTGGTCTGTTTTTCTCAAATCGTTTATCTTCCGTGAGACACTTGAGCAGCGCATCATGACTTTCCTGTTACAATAGATGTGGACACTGTAAGTACCATTTATTGTAGTGGGCATCTACATGATCTCTCAAGATCTGTCATTTTATACTTTCATTCCCTGACATGGTTTTGTTTTTAAAAACATACCTGCTGCCTGTCTGTGAGTGATCTTTGTTTTGTAAGTAAGTAAACTGGTGCTCTTGGTTCCTGTAGATATAATTTTATTATTTGCAATTAGCATACTATTATTGATTACATACACTAATTCTTTAAAAGTAAATGAGGAAAATTGTAAAATACTTTTCTTGCAATCAATTCTTCCTCTGTTTGATTTCCATTATCCAAAGTCTGCATCATAATAAAAGATAATTATTACATAATACATAGTAATATAAGGGAAAACTTAAATTACCATACCTTGATTTGTGCAGTCATATTATCAACAATAACTGTTGGTTGCATCTGTTCTACAATAGTAACTTCATGGTCTGTTTCTATTTTTTCTGGATGAACTTTCTGCTCAATAGCAGCAGCTGCCTGGCTCCGTAGGAATTCATTTTCTGATTCTAGATTTGCTATCTGACCCTTCAGGCTAGAGACAACATGAAAATTTTAGTATTTTGAAAGTGTGTATATGTTGGTTGCAGTTTTATCCTTCCTCAATTTATTTCTAGTTTAATGGTTTGTAATCCACCTTGTGTAGAACAATAAAAATACAAACTATGGCCTGTGTCATGGAGTAGAAATTATGTGATATTTAATCAAAAAACAGTAAATATTCACTGAAACTATCTATTTATTAGCATTATCAAAATGCAGTGAATTAAAAACTTCTAAAATGGAAGAAAAGGACATTTTATCATAGCATCCATACTTATGCTGTTATCATTAGATTTGTTAAAATCTATTTCATGAACAACTACTGGATAAACCCAGGCTCATTTTGGTGTATCATTTGTGTATCCCCCTTTGCTAAGGGAACTGTGTCCCTCAAAACATGTAACCCTTAAAGAAGAGATAAGCGCGTGATGTCTTCTATTGGCTACATTCAAATGCAGCCACATTATACTAATTGTCTCCGGCAGGCAGCAGCAAAATATTGCCCAAGAATAGAAATAATAATAAATGGTTCAAATAATGTATTAGATCTTACATTTTGATCTCTTTGGAGAGTTCTTCATTTTTTGATTCTACCAAAGCCTGCTGGCATAGAACCTGATTCTCGGACTCAAGGTTTGACAAACTCAATTCTAATCTGGAGTACTAAAGAATAGACAGTCAATGCCAGTTTATAGTGGAAGAGATATGGTGTGACTAATATTAGTTAACAACCTTTCAATAGTCTCCTGAAGTTGTGTTGCTTTAAACTGTGCTTCTTCTGCCTCTTTCATCCTTGCTTGATTCTCATTTTCAATTTCTGAGCACCTTTCTTCAAACTCCTTAATCTTCTTTTTCAGCTCTTCTACTTCAGTCTGCAGTTTCAGAACATTAATTTAATTATTTGTCATCATATTAAGTGTCAAGTGCAATGTTTTTATATATGCTGAGCTGTTTCTATGCAACTGTGACAGTGCATCATATTTATATTTGGACTTTCTACTTTAATTTGTTCTCCTTTTTTCAACAACATTTGATGTATTTCTATTTCTTTCAGAATCACATCCAGTAATATGGTATGCTTCATATGCCCCACATTGCTGTATTGGCAGTGTTTACTACCTTACCAAAAATGAGTGAAATCATGTTTTCTTACACAAGGTAGTTTGTAATTTCTTTTTCTGTGAATGATCCTGAAATCTACACTGTTAATCACTTTGTTTTATCATTCTTCCTATATTGCCTCTGGAAATTTATTATTATTATTATTATTTTAATTTGTTGGTGGTAAAAGACATAATATTTTTTGAAAAAAGATTTAAAAATGCCACCCTTACTGTTTTTTATATTATTTGGAAGTACTTCATAATTTATGAATGAATTTTTCAATGTTTCTTGATGTACATCGTTAGTTTATGATAATACCATTTTCATATACTACTAAATGACATTCTCCTTTTATTGTAACATGCAATAACATACTGGAACTGTTACTTAATGTAATTTTATTGTTCCACCATTTGAATGCATTGTTCCAAATATATAGGAGACAGTTTCTGATTTACCTCCAGCTCCTCATTTTTATCTGTCAGTAACTCTAGCTTGGTGTTGTCCACAACAGGTACCTCTTTAATTACTGGTGGTGCTTGTTCAATTGCTATTTTTGCTGCTTCTTTCTCATGTATAATTGCAGCGTGAGCTTCATCTAGCTGAGTTTGCATTTCTTGTAAAGCATTTTGCAATTTTGCAATCTCTTGCCCTTTAGCTTCTTCAATATCCATCTGCAAGTTATTTTTCCTGATTAGATGGTGTGGATAAAATTCTTTATGAATGAATCAAGGTTTTTCTTCTCACTATTATCTTGAATAGTTTTCACTGTATTAGTCAGTGATTAAAACTGCTGCAAAAAATCTTATTTTGAATTATAATTGTACTGTTCAATTTTACTGTCATTAACCATTTCACTCAAATCCATTTGGTGTTTATCATGGGGAACTAGTTGAGAATCTCTACCCTCAAGTGCTTTTCAATATCTAGTCTCCATGTAAGCTCCTCAACACGCTTCTCCAACTTGTCCTTTGCTTCCTTAAGTGCCCCAGTTTCCCTTGCAGCCTGCACAGTAACATAAATTGTTGACCATGCCTCTACTTTTGAATCATTTTTTTCCTTGCAGATATGCTAAAATAATTGGCATGAAATTCTAGAACATGATACATAATAATAGAACTCACCATTCGAAGCTTTCTGAGCTCTTTCCTTGCTACTCTAGCTCTCCAGAGACATTGAAGTGTAACAGTTGCTTTCTTCTGCTGTTTGTAATCAGAAAGAGCTTGAACTCTTCTCCATTGTGTCTGTGAGAAGAATTTAAATGGAATAATTACAATTATCAATATAAAAGGGAAAGAATGTGATTACATTTTGTACACTCATATCCAAAGTATCTACAAGTTTTTATTTATTTAAGAAAATTAGATGAATTTTCAAAGAAACAACATTTTGGATTCCAATTTTATTTTTCATTATGCATGTGATTTATGTTGGTGTTAGACATTCCTTCTAAATATGTGCTTACCTGAATTTTTATTGAAGCCTTTGTTCTTCTTCTGTACCTATATTCATTTCGTGCGGCCAATGCTCTCAACCCTGATTGAATAACTACAGCTGATGCTTGTAATGATGTATAAGATATTCTTGCTCTGTGTGCACGCACATGTTTCTGTATCCGGATAGAAGCTGCTTCCCTCCTCATATGCTCATAGAGTCTCCGAGCAAGTTTAGCTGAAATAATAAAGTGCACAGAAGAATAAGTACAGTTAATGCTAGGACAGAGCATTAACAGGTAACAACAATCATGCACTTAAACAAAAGGAAGACGTGTACTAAGAATACTAGTTTTTTTGTGAAGAAAGGTGACCTCTCCAAATCTTCTGGATATGAATTGTGGCCTTTCTCAGAGTGATGAACTCCTTTCTGGTTAAATGTGTTCGGATTTGTCTCTGTATGCGTCTAGCTGCTTTAGCTAGGACTTCGGCTCTTCGTGCATCTAATTCAGCCATCTGACCAGCTCTGAGAAACACTTTTGTTTTCCCCATCTGATTGAAACATTAGGAAGAAAATGCTTTGGAGATTGTAACACAAAAATTCCTGAAGTTTTATGGATAATCATGCATTTTGCTTCCATATAACATGTTTTTCCATGTATAGACTTACTTGATAACCTTTTAAGCCCATCTTATCACAGATGGAAATAGATGCCTTCTTCTCATCAGATCTGCACAGAAGAAAGCATTATTTGTCATATAGGTGTATGAAGCATAACACACTTTATAGGACTTGACAATGAGAGACAGATTTATGATATTTATTTTCATGTGATCCTGAATTGATTCTCTATAATATGAGCTACAGCATAGATAATTCTTATTTTTATTTCCAAGTAATGCTTTAAGTAGTTTAACTGAACAATGATTGTATTGACATCTTTGATTCATCATTCTTTCTCTATTTTCTTGAAGTTGTGAATTCCATACGAGTACGAAAATCAAAGTTAAAAAAAAAATCATTTTCATTTTCTTTTTCTTTTAGACTAGAATAGTCTTTACCCATCAAGGACATCAGGGGCTAGCATTCCAAATCGATCAATAAACTCTTCAAATGTTCTTTTTGTTGGATATCCTGCACAACTAATTCTTATTGCCTCAAGTACTCCCTGCAAGGGTAGTGCCGTAAATGTTATTGGTGGGAGAATCTCTCAAATTCACTGAACAGTAATACTAATCAGAGACAAAACAAATAATTAAACTTACCCCACATCTTAACTGGTTTAAGACATTGAAGTTCTCAAAGATTCCTGGCTGCAAAACTGTATTTGGTTTCACACATCTTATGTAATGGGGTTCTGTTGTGTTCAGTGTCTCCATGAGAGATTGCAGTTGTTGCTGCATATTAAGATTTGATTCAGAAGCAATTCATGGATCTTGAGAGTTTCTAGAAACAGGTGGAACTAGTAAATGTTGAAATTGAAATGTTTACCTTAAACTGTGAACCAATGGAAGAGAATTTTGATTGCTTTGATGTCTCCTCTGGTAAAGGAGGGAAAAGATTAGCAACAAATGAGCACTTTGAAGCACATAAAAGAGCTTGATGCTCTGCTACAACATAATCTTTATTTTTATCAAGAAAATAATCTGCTTGATATGTGACCTGTGCATCAAAAGGTTTTGTGACAAGGAATTAGCAGTTTTAATTTTCTGATAGGATGGCCAAGAAAAAGTTTTATAATTGTCTCAGCTTACATCTCCAGCATAGTGGTTAATTGTGAAATCTGTTCGAGCTAGTTTTGGCTTGCTGAAGCGCTTGTGTGCTTTGTATGTCTGGTACATCTTTTGTGCAAAAGTCTCATGAGTCGATTTGGGAAACATGCTACAGAAAACAAGAATATAATTAAAATTTCATTTGCAACTTCTGCCATGTTATAAAATCTGTCAAAGCAAGTTCTGCTACCATACTCTACTGTTTTGAGGAACTCTTTTGCAGGCATATTATAATATAATATGTTTATCTGTTTTGTCATTTTAATATATTCACGATTTTTTTAATAAGAAATGACATACCAGGCTTCATCAAGAAGAGCAATTATTCCCCCTGGTTTCTGCATGCAGAACATATTAGTTTCACAATTTTATCTGGTACAAAAGGTCTTGCACAAACAATGATGATGCAAAAGTCTCTAGTTACCTTCTCAATAAGATCAAGAACATCCTGATTATCCACGAATTCTACATAGCTCCAATTGATTTCCTCCTTTGTGTACTCTTCTTGCTCCATCTTGAATACATGCTGTTGAAATAGATGCATTTCTATATTATGTACTTGCAGTAACAATGATTCTCAAGCTATATTTAGAAGATATAACCTTGCCTGATTAAAATGTTGTTGCAACTTTTCATTTGTTAGGTTGATACATAGTTGCTCAAAACTGTAAATGGAAAACAAATGAGATTATAAGATAGAGATTTAGAAACTGTAATTCTGACTTATAATAATTTTCCTATTTACCTGTTGATTTTGAAGCTTTCAAACCCATAAATGTCAAGGACTCCTATTATGCTTACTGCATTGGAATCTTGACCAATGGAACTGTTAATCTTGTCAACAATCCTGCCAGATTGAAGAATGCATTTAGAATGTGTTATTCCTTGTCTCAAAACTGAAAATATGTCCATAGAAGCATTGTTTCAGAGGAGATTTAGTGAAGTATTATAAATAATGTTGTATTGGACTAGTATGCTTCCTTGACATCACAATTCTTGGATTGTTAATGTCCTAGTTTAACATTAGTGTCAGACTACAGAATGAGGTTAGTTACATGTTAGTGCAATTGGCTTAGTTTGTTTTTACCAATCAAACAATCTGGAATACACAGTCTTTGCCAAAGCATCTCGGCTCAAGGCAGCTGCTTCTGGGTCTAGTGGTTTGGTAATGTTACCATCAGGAGTAACAATGACACGCTTGCAAAGTGAGTCTTCTAGTGCTTTCTCATCACACCTGCAACGTAAATATGTCAAGATATACCAATAGTGAAGCATAGGGATTATATGGTTTAGATGGGAGGATTGAGGTTTTTACATGAATAACTCTGCAGCTGTTCGAAGGTGTAAGAGTGATTTATCATCTTTCAATTTGGAAGAATCAACTTCTTTCCCTTTGACAAAGTCAATGTTTCCAAGGTGGAGGATTGCAGCAACTACACGAAAGATAGCTTCCTGTGGAAGGAATTTTTCTTTCATCAAATATTTGGATAAAAAGAAATCACTGCTTTCATTAAAATGTGATGCACTGATGCATTAGTCCAATACCTGCTCTTCTTGGCCAATGCCTACAATATCCATTGCATTTCTGGTCTCCAAGTATTCTTTTGCATCATCTACATTTGACACTTCATAACAGTTTGATTGATTAAGATAGTGGAATTGCCTTGGATCCCCTAACTTGTACTTCTTGACATCCTATGAAGAAACTTTTTAAGTGTTAGATTTTGTGAGGTAATGATATGTTACTGAATTTCTTTCAGTATAATTATAGAAAGTTTACCTCCGGTGGTGCTGCACAAAGCATGTAAAAGCAATGATAGTTTCTCTCTGGATCAGAGACTTGGCAAACCCGTGACCTTTCGAGGAGATAAGTACGGATTGCAGCTCCCGAAATCTTCCCATTCTTGTCAAATTGAATTTCAACAAATTTACCAAAACGACTGCCAGAAACTCCAATAATGTTGTAAGATCGACTATGGAAATTATGATAGAAAATGTGACCTGAGATAATATCTATACAATTTACCTCGAATTGTTGTTTTTGACAGTTTTGGCATTTCCAAATGCTTCCAACACTGGATTGGACTGCAGAAGTGAAAATGTCACTGCATAGACATATTGAGTTAACCAAGAAACAATGTAAGTAAGTAGTTCAAACTCACCTCCAAAACCTGTTGTTCCACAGTTCTTCCTTCTGTGCCAGATCTACCCCCCATGAATGCTAGATATCTCATTAGCATTTTAGTTGTCTCAGTTTTTCCAGCTCCACTCTCTCCACTTACCAAAATGGATTGACTTCCATTTTCATTTATCATTGCCCTGACACATTTAACTGAGTCAACTCCATAATCAATTGTTTTCTAGTTTACTTGTGCCGAATCAATTTCTACATTGATATAAATATACCTGTAACACGTGTCTGCTACAGCAAAAAGGTGAGGACTCAGCTCTCCAAATGCTGCTCCTTTGTACTGCTCCATCATATGGATATCATACAAGTGTGGTAGTCTTCGAAATGGATTCACTGCAATTAAGATATTCCCTGTATACGTCTGTTTATTTCATTTATAAGTGTCAGGTTTTGCCTCTTTTCTTTATATCATTGTCTATAAAATATATTGAGATTTTAACTGGTTGTGACTCACATATATCTCATTAAGAGAAAAACGACATGCAAGGTTATACAAGACTCCTGGCTCATGGAGGTATGCTAGCTTGGTCATGTCATCAACTCCTGCAGGTGGTGCCTCTGTATCTTTGGGGTATATACTTGAAATTTCAGCTACCACCTGAAATTGAGGGCAATGCTAATGTTTAGTTTATGTGCCTCTTTATGCTTGCACTTCAAGTATCCAAATTCTGAGTATTTTTGCTGAACAAGGCTGTGATGGGTCAGAATCCAATCAAATTATGGTTCTTAAGCTTGTGAAATTATAAACAAGTTGTGACTTGACTATCAGGTATAGCTTTTGGCAAGTGATAAACACCTGATTCGATATGAACTGTAAGTTTCTTATTTGAATAACTAGTTATGTCTTTATAATACTGTATTTCAAAAAATCTTATTTAAAAAAAATGTTTATAAAAGAATAATTCCTTATTTTTAATGACTACTGATTCTAAATTGGTAATGAGGCTGAAAATTGTGGCTGGAGCTTTTGTGCTGAAATTTCATATTGATGTTATTTTTTCAACCTATATTGTCTCTGCCATCAAGCTAACAAAATCCTGCATCATCTCTCTTGGGTTAATCCTTTTCTTTTCTACATATATACGTTGACATCTGATCACGTTTTAGCTTTATTGTCACAAAAATAAACACAATTATAATTTTAACTTTACAAAAAATAATTCGGTCCAATCCAATCACAGAACAGAAAAACAAAATTGCAGATGATGAAATTCCCTAAAGTCTTTCTTCAAGCTATTTCATGGCTACCATTAGGATCCAAATTGGCCATGCTATTCAAATAAAAAAGCAAAGTTCTGCACCTATCTCTAAAACACATGTTATGTTAACATCTACGATATGGAATTACTCCTATCAAGTTTTGCATTGTTTCACTAATAAATGACAGTACTTTGATCACTCCAATTTTATGATCAAGTAATAGCCTTACTTTTTTCCCATTTGAGGCAATGATGGTGGCATTTGTGCCATTGATTTCTATCACCTCACCATCAATCCATGCAGCCTCAGGATCCTCTGCCCAAACCTGTGATCCAACAATGATGTTCACAGGTGTTCCCTGAACCAATCCCAACAAGGCATCAAAGTTAAAACATATGATCCAACACCAAAAAATAGGAGGATCAACAACACAGAAAAGAAAACTACTGTTTTTCTGTTCAGATTCTCACCATGATGCTAAACTCAGCTGATCATGAAAATCAGAATGGTGGCTTGTGGAACTAGACCAAGATGAATGGATGTTTCAAAGCTACAAGGAAGAGGGTGGTGTTGTATCTTAAAGAATGCTGGTGTGTGGGTGTGTGTTGCAGAGACTCAGAAAGCAGAAAGGAATGTCCAAAAGGAAAACAAAAGCAGTGGAAATGCCAGGGTGGTTAACTCTTTAAAGCTAAAGGGGTAGCAACCATTCCCTTACCTTACCTTACCACCTTTTTCTCCTCAGTCCCATGTACTTTTTTTTTTCGCTCCTTCCACGACAGATGCTGACTTGGCACCAAGAGAAGCCCCAGAAAAAATGTGTATAAAAAAAATGATTCAAATATTCAATTCATGTGTCTGCAGCATGCAACATGATCACATAAGTGGGGCCATGTTGCTTAAGCGATACGAAGAATGAACCACCGCCCAGCTGATAATTTTGAATAATATTTTTTGTACATGATAATTTTGATTTTTATATTTTAATTGATTTGTTATGGGCTGGTCAGGTTGTATTATTTGGTATTATGGTGAGTAGTAGCATAGCATACACAGCTGGTGTTACTTGTCATGTGTTGGTAGAGTAATTACAGTCCCATGGTTAGATTTCAGTAACGGTAAAGATTCATTCATAATTGATTATGTATAATAATTTAACATTAATATATTCAACTTTAATTAGGAGGAAGGTACCTACATTTAATGCATGACTATGCCTTAAACATGCTTATATCATATGAAAGATACTTGTGAGAAATTAAAATACAAAAAAGGGTAAAGATTAAAAATTTAACAAGCTAGAATTTACATATTACAGCCAGCGATGACAATTTGAAACAATTGAGGGTGTTGGTATATTGGTTGGATAGGGGAAAAGAGATCATGGGTATATCAACTTCTATTTCAAGCACACGTTACTGAAAGGCCATTATGTCCAAAGTCAAATGTCAATGAGTTGAAGAAAGGCTCTCATATTAAACATGCCTAAAAGAAAGGAAAAGAAGATTGTGAAAGTTGAGCCACAGAAGGGGTTCCACCATGCATAGTAAATGCCAATAGGGACCCAAAGTTTCCAACTTTATGTAAGCCTCCACCATCCAAAATAACTTTTTGTCACCCCTTGTGCTTTCAGCACTTGAAGTGTAACTACTAACAAAAATACTACCATCTAACTTGTATCCATGATTCTGTGTATCTAGAGTCATGAAATAGAAGGGCGGTTAGAGATTTGCAAGGGTGCAAGTTTCTTTCCGTTGTGGGACGGCTATGGCAGGTGGCACATTTTTTGGCCTATGGTCATTCACATGAGAAAAAGGATACTAAGGTGTGTGGTGGGACCATGAAGCATAGGAAAAAGCCTAACACAAGCGTGGCTTTCCAACCAAGCTTTGTTCATCATTCTTTTTCTTTTGCAATTTGTTTAAAGAAATTTTGCTTATGTGGGTATCATTAATCATCATTACTCTCGCTTATTAAGTGATTTAATTTGGATATTTTTGTCAAATTTTTATATGATGGGGTGGCCTATATGGCCCTCAGAAATTTAGATCTTGCTGTACCATATAGTGTTGTAGGGAGAGATGCTTCTCTTGTCGGTCATTGGTCCAAAGTTGTTTTGTTGAAACGCTACTTTTGGAAGCGCTTTTGACCCAATTTTCTCAATGTGGGAATATACGCTTTCTTAGTTAGAACAAAAGGAAAGGGAAAGGGTAGAAAATTTGGAGATGGAAAGTAATGGTAGATGCAATAGTGTGATGGACATTTAAGAAGCCCAATTATGTCAAGAGGTACCATTCAGGTCCATAATGGACACCATAAACACCTGTTTTCCATCATGCCCAAGCCACCAAGCCTGTATATTAACAAATCCTCCTTTCCCAAAAATATTAAGAACACCATGGAATCCTGCTTATTGAATATTTATATTGCAAAAACATACTACTCTCCAATTGGTGGGACATCTATTGAAGGCATTTTAGAGCTCAATTTTATATATGTTTTGAAGTAATATTGAAATTAAAAAGAGTGAAAGGAATATATTACTTTTAACATTTTTTAATATACTCATTTATTGATTGAAATTTTTTGACAAATACAAAAAATTTTGTGAAAATCATTAAATTAAGAGTAAGTTTAAATAAGGATGTTAGAAAGTGTAGTACTACTATTTTTCTTAAAATTAAATACTGCTTAACATGTGTGAAGGTGTGGATAAAGACAAGCAAGCATGTGATTCGAGTCAATCTCTATTGCCTCTCTAATAAACCTTGTTTTTAAGTGTCAATCATGTTTAGCTAGTGTAAATATATATGGTAGAAATGAGGAATTCCAAATTAAGTTGTTTAAATTGTTGACATGGTTGTGTGCAATCCACTCTTTCAATTAGCGTAATTAACATAGACCAAAAGTAGCAAATAAACAGTGAATAACAATCAACTTTGTTATGGATGAAGTCCTAAAATAGACTTGTGATGTTTATTTTATATTGATGTTTTGTGTGCATAGAGTAGTCCAATCCGCTACATGTTCATTTTTGTTCCTAAACCCACTACATGTTTGAAGAAATTCTCTTATGTTTTGGGCCCTAAAAAGTGATACTTTTAAGTGGGACTGTGCTGCCTATAAAAGGCCTTTTTCCCTCATCAAAGATACGTTAGTTAATAAAAGGCCCCATAGCCCATTTGGTTCTCCAAAGGTTTTATACATGCCTATGTCAAGGTCAAGCAACTTTTTAGTTTTTATTTTCTTGATCAACTTTGTTGTTCTGGACTCTTGAATAAAGTGTCACTTTGTACTATTTCAATTTTTCTATCATAAAAAATCGATTTATGGCAAGGAAAAATCTCTCTCTTTTTCCATGCATGCATGTGCTCCTGAGCTAATCAAACTGAAAGTTCAACACAAATCCTGTAATTTATTTTGGCATATTATCAGTTTGAGGCTAGATTTTCAAGGAGGGAAAGTGGGAAGTGGAATTTAGCCCCTGACATCACCTTATGGGAGCACCATTTGGTCCACTTTTGCATGTTCAGTTCTGTGTTCAAATCCTCTCTTTTTAAGAGAATTCTATATTACAAATAACCTGGTTTATAAGATCATTCTTTTTCAGGCCAAAGGCACGTTTAAGAATGTGTTTGATAGCTAAAATTTTATTTTACTAGTTGAGAAACCTATTCAGCAAAAATAATTCTGTTTAATTAAGTAGGTTTTAAAATAGTTTGTAGTGTTTTTAAAACATATTTCAAATCATGCTCTGATTATTTACATAATTTAAAATATACAAGTATTTAGCTTCAACTTTAGGTCTAATAACACTTGTGAGGCAAGAATTAGGGTTAATATTTAATAAATATTATGCAAGTGGAGGTTTTAGCAAGCAAAAAGTGTTATGATAGATGACTATTGAATGGCAGAAAAGTGTAATATACTCGTAACATTAGTCAAAGAGAAGTGGTGTTCTGACTTGGCAAATTGCAACCCACCAAATCCAAAGGTCAATCACAGCTAATTTAGTTTCATCTACAATCAAATACAGCTAAGGCTAGATTTTGCATTTGCACGAATCCCCAAGCAGAGTTGTCAAAAGTTAGGCAAAAAGGTACATTATTTTTTTCCCTCTCTTTTTAACCTTTTGCCTCCATGGCCCTCTCTTCAATTATCTCTATCTCCATGCAATTATTATTATTATTTTCTTTTTTTTTTCTATATATAGGTGAATCATGATTAATTCGTTGGTTATATGTGAATGATAATTTAGCATATACAGATAAGTCTTTGAACCATTTTTATGGGTTTAAAGGGGAGGAGTGACTTCGACTAAGGACCTATTTATTTTATAATTGACTATTATTAATTTTAATGATAATTAAAAAGTGTGTTAAAATTATTCTTAATTATAAATAGTATTAAAATATTTTATTGAAAAATATATGGATTAATTTTTTGAACAATAATTTTGTAATTTTCTGGCCTAAATTGTGAGATGAAATGAGAATGTTGTGTTTGCACTCAGCGAACCAAATATAGTGTGTTTTGATTTTATATTTTTATTTTTATTTTTTACATTTGCAACTACTCAAATGAATAGGTATAGATAAAAAAATGAAGATGACCAAACAAAAGAAAAAAATGATTAACAAAAGTTGGGGATTTTATTTCTTTTACTAAACGATGTTATATTTTACTCATTATCATATAACATTGTTTAGCAAATAAGATAAAAAAAAAAATCCCATTTTTTATTACACTTTATATTAAAGTAAGCTAATTTTAACTTGAAAATTGTTTTAGAAAATTTTTACACTTTATACTTTTAATGTTAACTATGTATAAAAGAATTATTTTTAAAGTATTTAACTTATATTGATTAAACCTGGTTGAATGATAACATAATTTATCCTATAATCAAATTTGCAAAGATGGATATTGAAAAATCACATGATAAATGTGATTTGGATAATATAATTTAATTGTGAAAAATTAAGATAGATGAAATTATTAGGACCCTTCCTGAAAGGACAAATCCTCTCATTTCTTAATCTATAGATATGTTTTGGAGCATGTACATGGTAATAAAATATTTTCAAGAATCACAACTACCAATAATTACCATTGATTCCAATTTAAAATGAGGATTAAAGAGATCATAATCTTTATCATCAAAAATAATTTCTTTTTGTTTTACTTTTTAGGCTATAATTACAATTTCTCTTGGAAAGGGAGAGATATCTAACACGTTTATGATATTTTTATTTAATTATTGTTTTTATTTTCTAATTGCAGCCATTGTCTTCAAAACTAAAAAGTACGTGTAAAATGATAAGATTCTTATATATTTTGAAAAACAATAGTTTTGATAAAACTATAGAAAGTGGTATAAAATATAAATGCGTCCCATGAAATTAAGTTTATATTATATAGTAAAATTTAAGTAAAGCTTAAACTGTTTTTTTTAAAAAAAATTCAGAATAATTAATAATTGCTCATGTGAAACTACTATTGACTTTGTAAGCTTTTTAATGAAAATGTTTTGAAAATTATGATGTTGAATAAATTTAAAAATTCAGAAAATTATATTACGAAATTTAAAATAATTTAGAAACAAATAGGTTCATGAATTTTTGCTATTTTGAGGGCCA